AGCCTTGCCCTGCTGAGGACAGACGTGGGTGCTTTTGCCGTCACGGGCTGAGGAGTCAGGAGTCCCTGGGGCCAGCCCCTTCCTCTGGGGACCTCAGAGGGGCTTGCTCAAGATGTTGCCACAGGCCGTTAGGATGTGAGCCCACACTGAGGTAGGGCTGGGGAAGAGGGGGATGGCAGGGGAAGAGTAGGGAGGGTCTGCTACAGCTGAGTTGTGCTGAGGTACAGGTTTTAACCTCTCCTGACCTGACCCAGCCCATGACACACACACACACACACACACACACACACCATGGGGGAGGGGGCTGGGCACGCTGCCAGGGATGCCAGGAAAGGACTCTGTGGCCTGTGAAGGAGAGAGTTGGGAGGATGGATGGGACGTTTCCCACTGTCTGGCCACACGAACAGTGCCCTGCTGAGGACGGTCCCTATGAGAACCCCGCAAGATGGCACCGCCAAAAGCTCTACAAAGAAAGCTGCACAAAAGGCTCCCTGCCCCACCCAGCAGAACCCTTTGAAGGCCTTGCCACACCCCCTCAACCTTGGCCACACCCCTCGGCCTTGGCCACACCCCTCACTTGGCCTGCCCCTCCCTCCTCATGACCTGAAGGCATCATAGGAATTGTTGGGGTCTCTCAGCTGGGAGCCTGGGCCGCAAAAGCCTACCCGGCCAGGCTGCTTCTCAGTGGCCCACCCACCACACCAGCCCCGTAGCGGACCCTTCCCACTCTTCTTGTTTGTCTGGTTTTTTTGTGCTGGTACTGGACCTCATGATCCACTTGGCTTTTTAGTTCAGGGCTCTACCATTTGAGCCACACGGCTACATCTGGCTTTTTGCTAGTTAATTGGAAATAAGAATATTGTAGACTTTTCTGCCTGGGCTGTCTCTGTACCAGGTTCTTCAGGCCTCGGTCTCCTAAGTATTTAGCACATAGGTGGGGACGGTAACCTAGGGTGTTCTCAGAACGGGGCTGGGAGCAGAGGGGCATGCATGGACCCAGTGCGGACTGTGGCAGAGACCCTGACTCAGGGCTCAGTGACTGATCCATCCTGTCTAAGTCACAAAGAACAAGTGACAGTTCCTGGGCTGTGGCTGCTGACATCTGTGGGTTGACTTATGTACTTCAACTTTTATTCTACAATTGGATGCGCTTAATGATAAAATAGGGCCCAAGTCCAGATTCCCTTGGAAAGCAGGTCAGCCGTGGGCGACTGTGCTGTATGTGTCTCCCTAGCTTGCCATACAACAGGCTGTTTTTATACAACGGAAGTTCACTTTCTCATGTTCTAGGGGACACAAGTCCAAAATCAAGGCCTAGGCGGAGCTTCGCTGCCTGTGAAGCCTGCGGGCCGTGGGTCCCTCACCGGGTCCCGCTTCCTGGAGTTGCCTCCTGGTCTTGGCTTTCTGCAGTCTGTACTCCACATATGCCCCTCTGTTCCCAGCCTTCCTCCTCGAGAACACCCTAGGGCAAAAGTCTCCACCGATATCCTGGGGTTCCCATACACCTGGCCGTGCAGAAGAGGAGTGGGAAGCTGGGCTCTGGTGGCTCACGCCGGTAAACTTAGCTACGCAGAAGGCTGAGATCTGAGAATCCTGATTCAAAGCCAGCCTGTCTCACAGAAAAGTCTGTGAGACTCCTATCTTCAATTAACTCAAAAATTAAATTGTCTCTCCACTTCTCTTCAATCTAGTATTAGAATGCCTAGCTACAGCAATAAGACAAGATGCAGACATAAAGGGGATCCAAATAGGGAAAGAAGAAATAAA